AAATGTGCCAACACGTGCCAAAAGTGCCCAGAGCGTGAGGAACGCAAAAAACCACATTTCGTGCCCGGAATCAACATATCAGCTCTAAACAATGATTTTACGTGTACATATTTGTCTTATATGGCTAATAAAATTACCAAATAACTACATTTTCTGAAAATTCTGTGATATTTTCCACTTTTGTTTTTATAAAATTTGCTTTCGGATTTGAACAACAACAGCTGTTATTTCAAAATGCCCTCTTGCACATTTGTGCCCGGAAAAAAAGTTCGGGCTGTTTCGAGCGCAAAGAAGAAGACATTTCTCTCTCTAATAAATACACCACTTAATATAGTTAATTATGTTTTTTTTTTTATAAAAACGTACATTTTTATTAAAAAATTTTTATAATTTCGTTTTTTTTAGTTTTTCTCGAAATAAGTATATAAGGTATATAAAGATATGCATATCAAATAAAAGGTCTATCAATTATCTTTCCAACCATGTCCACATTTTGCAATAGTTTTCGAAATATAAGCTTTTGAAAATATTGAAAAAGTCCTAATGGACTTGAAATCAGCATAAAAGATCTATAAGATGAAATCCGTCCGTTTTCGGGATAAAACTTGACCAAACTTTTTTGAACCGTGGTTACAGTAGAAATAAAAGATATCGATACTTTGCTTTGATGCCTTTCTGGACAGAGGGACTCTTGTGAGCTTGCCCTTTGGGACTGAAATCTTTGATCTGGGTCCAGCAAAAAATATGCAACCGTCTAGCACTCATTGTGGGGAAACTCAGCTTAACACTTGTTACGCACGGGGACGCCTTTTATTTTTGTATCATAGCCGGCCTTCGCCACGGGAGGCTAAAGCCAATCAAATTAGCGAAGAAAGCAAACGAAATATTCAGAAATCTCAACAGGGAAAACGAAAAAGTCGAATGCGTAGTCACAGCAAACAAGCCAAGATCAAAAACGAAAAGCAGAAAAGAAGTTCATTGAAGAATCGCGCAGCCAAAATAGTGGATATGTATGTATGTAACGGGTGATTTTTTTGAGGTTAGGATTTTCATGCATTAGTATTTGACAGATCACGTGGGATTTCAGACATGGTGTCAAAGAGAAAGATGCTCAGTATGCTTTGACATTTCATCATGAATAGACTTACTAACGAGCAACGCTTGCAAATCATTGAATTTTATTACCAAAATCAGTGTTCGGTTCGAAATGTCGACAAATCGAAATTATCGACAAATTTTGTTCAGCGATGAGGCTCATTTCTGGTTGAATGGCTTCGTAAATAAGCAAAATTGCCGCATTTGGAGTGAAGAGCAACCAGAAGCCGTTCAAGAACTGCCCATGCATCCCGAAAAATGCACTGTTTGGTGTGGTTTGTACGCTGGTGGAATCATTGGACCGTATTTTTTCAAAGATGCTGTTGGACGCAACGTTACGGTGAATGGCGATCGCTACCGTTCGATGCTAACAAACTTTTTGTTGCCAAAAATGGAAGAACTGAACTTGGTTGACATGTGGTTTCAACAAGATGGCGCTACATGCCACACAGCTCGCGATTCTATGGCCATTTTCAGGGAAAACTTCGGAGAACAATTCATCTCAAGAAATGGACCGGTAAGTTGGCCACCAAGATCATGCGATTTGACGCCTTTAGACTATTTTTTGTGGGGCTACGTCAAGTCTAAAGTCTACAGAAATAAGCCAGCAACTATTCCAGCTTTGGAAGACAACATTTCCGAAGAAATTCGGGCTATTCCGGCCGAAATGCTCGAAAAAGTTGCCCAAAATTGGACTTTCCGAATGGACCACCTAAGACGCAGCCGCGGTCAACATTTAAATGAAATTATCTTCAAAAAGTAAATGTCATGGACCAATCTAACGTTTCAAATAAAGAACCGATGAGATTTTGCAAATTTTATGCGTTTTTTTTAAAAAAAAAGTTATCAAGCTCTTAAAAAATCACCCGTTATGTATATACGCATGTAGAAATAAATGAAAATATCAATTTTTTTGCAAATATTTCAATACTTTTATTTAATTTTTTGTTTTTTTTCGTAATTTTATATTGGTATGCTTTTTTTGTAAATTTGTTTATGATTTTTTTTTTTAATTTATGATGAAAGTTTTTATTTGTTCTACATTATATATAATTAATTACAAGTTAATTTTATGCAATAACTATAATTATAATCAATATCATTTACATATGTACGTACGTATGTATAAGTATATGTTTGTATGTATGTTTAATAAAAAAGAAATTAAAACTATAACTAGATAGTAACAGCTAAGAAACTTTTTTTACTAATGTAGTTTGTGTAGTTAATTTTTTTTGTTTAGTTTTTTTTTATGCATTAATCTTGCATTGCAGTTGAACTTAATTGTAATAGAAACAGGAAAATAATAGTGAACAACTTTAGTTTTTTATTTATAATTTTTGTTTTTTTGAGTTAAATTTAATAAAATATGCAAACTAACATTAAAGAAAAAAAGCATTGAAATACATTTTTTCACAAACTGGCTAATTTTACAAATAAAAAACAAAAACTTATAAAATTGCAACTAAAGCGCTTAGCTGTGTGTGTGTTTTTTAACACATTTATGGAAGCCAAAATAGAGAGCAAAAGTAACAGTTAAAACGAATATTTGGAAAACAAAAAGATTTGAACTCTATAAAATTTCAGCTCTTAAGTGAATTTTTTAAATAATAAAAAAAACAATAACATAGGGGAAGTATTTTTTTTTTAATTCAAAACAGATACTTTTTCAAAAAACATTTAAACAAAAAAAAATTAGTTTCGAATTTGTTTGTAAATTAAAATATCCTTTTTAAATTTGTGCATTTTCACATGATTTGGCATGTCTTTTTTGAAAAAAAAAATAAAAATTTATTTATTTTCTTTGATGGAAACTAAGAGCTGAAACCTTTGTTTTTTTTGTTTTCTGTTTGTAAATGCGCACCAAGCAAACTGAATAGAAAAATATATTTTATTTGCATAAGCATTCACATTTTCTTTTCAAAATTATTATTATTTTTATTTCTTTGTTTTTTACTTATGCCTTAAAAAATTAAGTAATTTGTTTTTTGAGTTTGCTTTTTCATTTGTTTCAGTATTTTAATAATAAATATAACCTAAATATTTGTTTAACTTATTTTTTTTTTAATTTTTTGTTGTTTTCCACTTTTTATATTGTTTTTTTTTTCGCTGCAGTTTACAATTGTTTTTTAACAGTTTCGTAAATTTTTTTGCTTTGCTTGACTTATTTTTTTCAGCTCATGCTTGTAATTTCTTGGGTTTTTATTATACTTATTATTACTATCACAGCCATTTTTTGAAATAAACAAATTCCGCTTGAACCCGTTTTTTCGTCAACTCACGATTTTTTACAACTCTGGTTTGTTTTCTTACAAAAATTACAACAAAATTACTGCTCTTGCTAGCCCTTTCCATAATTAACAACTTTCAATTTTGGCTTGTTTTTTTTTTTTACTTTTTAAAGTTAAACTTTTTATTTATAAATTTTGTAGGCTCGCGTTATTTGTTCTTTTAAATTTTTTTGTGCGAAATTATTGTTTTTATATTACTTTGCGATTTTTCTTGGCTTTTTTCAATAACTTTTTGTATCATAATGACTTCTCATTGCACTTTTTAACTGAAAATTTGTTTGATGTCGTTTTGTTTTGCTTAATCGAAGTTGCTTCGTAAGAAAAGGTATGCAAATAGAGACGCTAAATTGATTTGACTTTGAAAATCTGGCGACGAATTTGTTTGTTGTTGTTGAAAATTATGTTCAATTATTTTGAAATGTTTGTCACAATATTATTGCGGCTTAATGACTTTAATTAAAAAATGATAACTGAGCCTGAGTCCACTTATTTATTTTTTTTAAATATATATTTAAATGAGTCAATAATTTTTGTAAATATTTTTGGAAGAACGTAAGAAGTTAGGTAAATAAAAAAAAAATAATAATAAATTGGGAAGATCCAAAAAAATATTTTGTTTTTGGAAAAATCTTCGCAAGTGAATAAATTAGAAAAACAAGTGGGGAGATTTAAAAAATGTCTTTTTTGAGCAAACAGAAATTTTTCAAAAAGGATATAAGGACAAAACTTCAAACAATCAACAAAAAAAAATTAAGAAAAATTTTACACAAAGGTGTTTTTTACTTGAGGCGTATTTCGCACTTCGCAGATTAAAGAAATTCTTTTTAGAAAAATAAAAACTAAATAAAAGTCTTTCTTTGCGCCTCACAGATTGAAATACATAATTCTTTTTAGTAAAAAAGCTGGAAAAATTAAAACGATAATTTAAATAAATAGTAAAAATTTTATAAAACTATGACAAGTTTTTTTTAGACATTTTCGGTGTCTGGCAAATTAAGGCATTTTTATACAAAAATAAAAAAGACATAAGAATGTTACAAGAAGTTTAGAAAAAAGCAACAATATTTTTTTTTTTTTGGTTAAGGGATTTTTGGGGGCTCTCAAATTGAGTTATTTTTGCGCAAGCTGATTTTGGCGCTTACAAATATGTTCATAAAAATCAACTATTGTTCGAAGACGGGATAAAACCGCCACGAAAAATTCTTCGAATTGGGAATCGTAAGTTTTTACATGGTTGAAGAATGTATGAAAAAATTGTTTTAGTTATAAGCTTGAAAATTATAAAATTATCAGTGGTTGATTAAGTTTTTAGTGGACAAATATGCAGAAGATCGTTCAGAGAAGTAGGAGTGAGGCGCCTAGACTTAGAAGTTTTGAAAATTAGTTAATTTTAGAGTGAATTGAAGGCAAGTTTCTGCTGTTTTTTTGCTAATAAAAATTTGTACGTTAAAAAAAAATAATTTATAATATTGTTCCAAAAAAAAAATTTTGTTTTAAATATTTAGTTCATTTTCAGCAGCCGTAACTATGTAGTTATTATTGTGTGATTTCGACTTAAATTTTTTATTGGAATTGCCACCTTAGTAAGTCACGTGAAACCTTTTTGCAATAATATTTTTTTTTGTGATTTGACTAGAGAAACTTCCTTTTTTGTTCTGATTGTTATTTCTACATTTTTAGAAAGAAAATTAGTGAATATTGCTTTACATAAGTAAATTTCTAAGCGAAATTTTTATTTTTTTTTTACTTTTCAGAGAAGAAAACTCCCAATGTTTACTTAGCTGCAATTTCGAAGGAGAAAATTACGTCCATTCCTTTCAATAAAAAATAGCAAATTATTTGTTGTAGAAAGCAAATTTTTTTGTAATACATATCTTATTTTTGTATCATAAAAACGCGTGACATTTTTTTTTTGTATTTCTACACATTTTTTTTTCACTTCATTAGCTTTTAAATCACACCTCTTGGGTGATCTCTGTCTTCTTCCTCACATCTACGTGACTAACTTACTATACAAACCTACATACTGTACATGTGTACATATGTACATATCTATGATGTAAGTATGTACGGTTGCTGTCTTCTGCTTGACTACATTTTCTTTGATTTAGTTGTTTTTTTTTTTTTTGTTTACTGCTTACCTTATATACTACACATGTATGTACATAATATGTCTGTGTGTAATTAGCTTTGTATAATTTTATATTTTATGTATTTACGTGTATAAGTTTTTCTTTTGAGTTTTTGCTTGGTTAAAAACTAATAATATTTGTGGAAAAAATCTTAAGCTAAATGCTTAAGCTTAAGAGTTTTTGTTTTGCCTATTTTAGTTGCAACAAAATTTGTGGCTTGTTGCCATTTTTATCTTTTTACATGAGTTATAAATTTTAAGTTTTTAGTGTTGTAAATTATGTACTTTTCCTCTTACACTTTAACATCTTTTTAAAAGTTAAGAAAGTTCTTTTGTTTTGTTTTAATATTAGTTACAATTTTTAAAGTTTTGTTTGCAATTATTTTGCTAAACTTAACAATGCGCTATAAAAAGTGAATTTTCTGTTTTTACTTTTGTTGTTTTCGCATCAGTTGCATTTAAGCCGCCATAATTCACAGCGAACAAACACCCGTCTCGCTCGCACATGCGCTCACTCATCCATGCCTAATCTCTTATCTTCTGCTATCGTTCGCACTCGCTTTTGCTGTCGAATTTGCTCTGTCTCGTTTACCACTTGCTATTCTATCGCCTGCTTTTTACTGATACTTTCATGTTTCCAGCGATGTGACGACCAGATTGTGAAATACACTTGCCGATTCGCTCATCATCGCCGCCTGTCCGCATGAGTCGCTGCCCACGCTGGGTGTTGGACTGGGCGTACCTAAGCGCAGCGCATCCATTATCACCTCAAAGTCCTTTTGATTTTGATTTAGATCGAACTCCAGTTCCAGCTCGTTGCCGCCATTGCCATTGCTTAGTTTTTGTCGTTTACTTGGCGACATTGGACCCATACCCATGCCGACGCTGACCCCCATGCCTAGTCCCAAACCCACACCAACGCCCATGCCACCACCTACGCTCACTACATCGAGCGGACAGTCTTCAATGGCGGAGATCAGGCGCTGTTGGGGGATGTAGAATTGTGAAAGCGCCTCGCGCACCAAACGATCGCTTTCGTCCTCGCTGCGTAGCCGTTTGCGAGACGAGATGGCTTTCTCTAGCTGTTCGGCGCCCTGCGTGATCTCCGGATCGATGAGTGGCATTGGCGCATTGATTTCGCTCAATTCACGGTCGAGTATTTCCAGGTCATTGTCAAGATTGCTGCTGCAGATTGGACGTTTACGCGAATGTGTGGTGCTGGTGGTTGAGACGACGACGGAGGAGGAAGAGATGGACGAGGATAGGGAGGAAGTGAGAGACGAATTGGCAACAGTTGTGGTGTTGGTGGCATGGCAGGAGGATGAGGCGGTGGCAGTAAAATGTGTGGTGTGTGTGGTAGTGCTGTGGATTGTAGAGGCGACGTTGGCGGTAGTGTGGATGGCAGTTGTGTGCGAGGTGATGGCGGCGCCGCTGCTGGTGGAGGTGGTGCTAGTGGTTGCTGCGCAGTTGCTGTGCGACGAAGAGTTGGCAATGTCGACGTGTGTGGTGGACGAGTGTAGTTTGTTGTTGTTGTTGTTGCAGTTGAGATTATTTTCATCGCCGCTTAAGAGAAGCTCTTCATCGCTGCTCCTGTTGCGCTCCGCGGCATCGTGAGCCCGCGAAAGATTGAGTGCGTTGTTGTTGTTGTTCGGTGAGGCATTGTTGTTGGCGATTTCATTGCAGGCGAATTTGTTCGATGGCTGATGATTGGAATTGTCAATGCCACAGCTGCTGTAGGGATTGAAAATGTTATCGCGTGCGCTTTCGGGCTTCACCTCGGATCTGTAATGGAAAAAAGAGGGAGAGAAGTTAAAATTAGAGTTACGTATGTTTAGCATAAAATATTACTATTTAATACTATTTCAGCGGTGGCAACTCTATATAAAGCTTTCAGAACTTTAAACGATACCCGCTTTGAACTAACTCGTACTTAACAGTTATGTTCATTAAGTCAAAGTAAAAAAAAATGCAAATCACAGTACGGTGTGAACGTAAAGAAAATAAGCAATTAAGGGTCCATCGGCCGTGCAGAGTTCAAAACCTGCTATGAAGCAGCATGCTGCAAGCAAGCACGAAAACTTTCACTTGAACTGAGCGGCCGCAATTGCTGGTGCGGCGCGCATACGAATTGCAGCAGATACCATAAATGTTGGGTGCAATAACAACAATTCGAATGAAATTAAATGGTAACAACATGAGGGACATTGAACGCGCAGCACAACAGCTGCGGAGTTCGTACAAAGCACACCACACAGAACCAGAGAACAGAGACGCGCATTCGACCGACAACGAAGCACAAATGTCAAAGCCAAGCACGTCAAAAATCCACCGCTAAGGCAGCAGCAGTCGAAGTGGGAAAAGGAGAGAAGGAAAGAAGCGAAGTGGGAAGTGGGAAGGCAGCTGGGGAAACAAAAGTAGCTGACTGGCAGGCGAGTAAGGACACGCCAAAAGCAGAGTGGTGGCGTCGTAGTTGAATGGCAGCAGCTTGCGAAAGCAGGCAGGCAGACCTGCGAGACGCGAAGGTTGGCGTGACTTCAAACGGCAGTTGACGAAGAAGAAGCAGAAGAAGAAAAAGAAGGGCTATACGAAATGAACTGTATGCGCTACGGTAATAATGGCAATGCGCTGATCAGTGCGCCTATCGCCGGTGTGTGGACTCAGCTGTGACCGATTTGCCAGCAAAACAACGCCGATAAAGTATTTACGGGCAATAGTAAGACAAGCAACGCTGTGTCCGTTAGTTTAATCGCAGTCGCCCTTGCAAGTATAAAACACAGCGCGCGCACAGCCACATACAATGCAAGCAAAGGTGTGAGCAGCGCTTTCCGGCGTACGCATGAAAGTGCGAATTTATGTGCGCTAATAGTTCGCACGCGTCGTTTGCTCATTAACGATGCGAGCCGATTGAAAATAGAGACACATCTACAAACAGACTTAGGCGAATAAAGGGTCCGCGAAGAGTTGCGTGCGAAATAAATTGGAAAAACGGCTACAATTGAAAAAAGGAATAGCGGAACAGGTTGCAAAAGCGGCAAAGGTGACAGAGGCGAGGAAATGAAGTAGTTACTGGCGTAAAGATAAGTGAAATGAAAAGAAAAAAAATCTACAAAATCCAGTTGGCTATTAAGCTAGTATTTATAGCGCTGTACAAAGTGTGGAAAAGCAACGTAGAAAGCGCAATAAATAAACCAGTAGCAGTGAATTAACGCGCATAGAGAGCTGCCGTAAGAAGTCATAAAAACCAAGCAACTATAAGCCACAAAAGCAGAGGAGGCATCGCCACTACAACTTTCCGGCTAGCGCATTAGTCGCCTCAAGGGCCGGCCGCATGACAGCCAAAGAGAATTATGGATAGTAACGCAACAGTTATTAAATTGCAATGCGAGCGGTAAGTTTTTAATTGATCAGCCAGTAGCCGTTGATTTGTACTTGAGATGATATAACCACATACATACGCATGTAAGTATGTAGGTGTGGAGTAGGACAGCAAGAGAAGGTGGCAATAAAACATAGTAGCACCTGGCGGCTTGCATGCGACGCTGCATAAATTGGGGCTCCGCAATAAACGCTGCGATGCAATGTGATTGGGGAGCAATAAATGCGTGCAGAGGGTAGCTGATACTACTAGTGGCTGCACACGCGCGCTGTAAATTCCAAAAGTGGTTGTGGCGCGGTGCGTTAACTTCTATAGAATTTATCATCGATTCACGCTATGAAATAGAGACTTATGACTTTTAATTG